CACGATAATATCATAAAGGTTTAACCATTGCACTTTATGGAAAAAGGCTGCAACATAAATTGTGCAAAGAATGAACAAATGCCTTCTATGCAAGTTTTATTGGCTGCAAAAACTCTTATTGGATCAAGCAAGGTACTTTAAAAGCTAAGAAGAAAAGTCAGTGAGCATTAAGCAAGCTCATAAGATTTCTAACATCTTTTTTTCTTTCTGTAATCAGCTTTATCATATCTCAGAATTTGGCGTGAGGTTCTGTATTTGTTGTTAAAAAGAAAAACCAAGAAGATGGTATCAAATGTTATGTCAAAACGGGCTAAATTCCTAGCATCTTAGTAGTAAGTAAATGACCTTCAAAAAATGGCAACACAGATGAGGCAAAACCTGTAAAGCTATCTAACGCCAAGTTCAGGACATCCCACAAAGAGAGGCAAATCCAAGTTCTGTACAGTTCTGAATGTTCTTGGAACCATCTTATCAACATACAGAGTTCCCTCTAAGTGATCACACTTGTGCTGTAATATGCGTGCTTGCAACCCTGAAGCATCGACTTTGATTGATTGACCTGTTTGATCTAAACCGGTAACCTCAACGTCCAAATGTCTTTTCCACAACTTCTCTGAACCCATCAACACTTCAACAACCTTCAAAAAACAGCGCATTTTGTTCCCTTTCTTTACCAGTTTTGGATTGATAATTACCAGTAGATCAAAATGACGTCTATAATGAATTTTTTTAATCATTTTAAAGCACATTATGAACAAAAAGAATAATTTTCTCAAATAATATGGCGAAACAAAAGTTCGAAACAAATAACATTAGATATCAATCAAACATAAAATTTAGAAGAACAAAATCAGAGTTAAAACTCTAAACCACAATAATGAAAAAGGGGTAATTATTGTCTAATGAATTAGGGTTAAGGAGCCTAAACCACAATAATGAAAAAGGGGGGAATGTTGTCTAATGAGTTAGGGTTAAGGAGGCTGGATTAAAAGAAGATGAAGGAGAAATGAATACCATCGGCGGCAATTAACAAGGTCGGAAATCGATCCTCCATGTCGGACTCGCTAGTGGGTGGTCGGCCTTGTAACTTCCAAGTCGCTGCGACGACTCCCGGCGGCAATGACTTCCAGGTCTACAGCGCTCCCGATTCAATCATGAGAAACCACATAGACAAATTAAATGGCTTGTGATTGTTAAATGGGGAGGAGAAGGATTGTAATGAAGAAATGAAGAAGAAAGAAAGGAGATAGAGGCTACGGGAGAAAGGAGAAGTGACGTAGAGAAGAGAGAGTTGAATGAGAGAAAGGGGAGAGAAAAGGGGTAAAAAAATTAAAAGTGGAATGGTAAAAACTAAAATCATTTATATAGTGTGTACAATATGTGTACATTTGATGTACACTAAGCATTTTCGAAAAGATTATCAAGAGTAAGGCTTTTAGAAAACATATTCTCTTAGTTTAGTTGTCTGGTTAATCATAAACAGGTGAGAGTACACAATGTCATATTTAAACTTTACCTAGCAAACCTTCTTTAAATAACTAATTTAGACCAACCTATTTTGTACTCCGTATTATTTTAGTAAATGGTTCAGTTATGGAGAATAAAGAATGTATACTTTGACATAATATGACCAAATAAAACATGTCGTATAAATGTATTCAGATTACTATAGATTTCATACTGCCAATTACAATAATAAGTCATTTTAATTATTTATATATAAACATTAAGTAACGTATCAGGTCACATACAACATAATCAAGTATTAGTGCATGCATATTCTGCCTACGTACATATGTTATACTTTATGTATATATTACATATTAACAACTAATCATTATTAATATATTCACATGTCCGTATATTTAACTCTATCTTTTATATACTGAGATCTAACTCCAAGGATTATTTAGCACTCAATACCTGAAATTTCTATTACATTAGTGGCACACACACATCTATATGCGTATGCATATACTTAGTGCTCACACCCAGGAATACATATGTCCTATATGTATGTTAGCATGCATGTATGTGAACCCACTTTTATTATGTATACATAACTACGTAGGTATGCTAATAAATATGTGCATGTAAAAATCGGTACTTTTGAGACTCCCGTATTAGTTCATATGTGTATTTATACATGTGCATGTTCCTAAGAGCTTGGTGTATAAACATGTAATCCTTTAACCCTAAATATATAGGGAGATTAAAATTTAAGGATCTCTTATCACTTAGACTGACTTAGTATATGAAATTATTGTTAATTTTGGTTGCTGATTCGTACATATAAAACTCACTAAATAGCATTTAGTTATTTCATAAATGGGTACTACGTAGCTTATTACAACACATAATTCTTGCATGCATATCTAAATCTATTACCTAGTATAATATATATTTCATTCATACTATGAATTTCCAGTAAATATTAACGGCTGGACAATATGTACTCTCGTAATTAAACCATTAATTTTTAGATTATTCATTTTTCGCAGTCAATTACACTTCATTTCCAGTTGACATTCAAATTGAATAAAAATGTAATTACTATAAATCAATAATTGTTATAAATTTGAAGAACACATTTTTAGATCACACAAAACATCTCTAAGACTAAACGGTGTTCATCATCCTCATAACATAACAGGAAACGGGGACGGAAATTATACTAAAATGGGGCGGAAACGTACTGACCTTATTGAGAAGAATCTGTTGAATATGACTAGGCTGGATCGTAACTCCTCCTCACATCACCGATTGTTCAACTTAGTTGCTAGTTTCTCTTCTTCTCTTGTTTTTCTTTACTTTTTGTTACGAAAAGTAATTCCCCAACTTGGTCATATGGTTATATATATAAAGAGACATCACAGTCTCCACTATCGATCCAACCCCTGACCATATTACGAGGCTAAGGTAAAGCTAAACTCCACCGCTTGATATATAACGCTTGTCTAGCTTGGTGTATCCTCACCTCCCAATTAGGCCAATGAAAAAAATGTATTCTTAAATCAAATTATCCCATGTATACGTGTGAGATCATTCAGCCCTCATCATGACTTCACTTGTCCTCATTGATACAGAATGCTTCTCGTGACACTACCTTTAATTTATAATGTTATATTGCATGTCAAATTTGACTTTTCCTATCCCTGCAGCATTTCTGATAATTTCAAATCATAAAATTCATTTATTTGGGTTTGGATTAATGGTAGAGTCTCCAGACTCTCCACACCATTTTTATTATTTTCTTTCTAAACTTTTGTCTAAAAATTTAGGGGAACGATTAGAATTATATTTGGCAATAATGAAATGCGTATAACATTACTAGGTTACTTTCATTTAAATGATATTTTAAATACTAATATTTATTGTTTAGTTAATAATCATTTAACAATTTAGACTTAATGAGAAATAAGATTATTTCAAATTTATGTTACCGGCTAGACCGGGTTTTGGGGTGTTACAATCCAAGTCCTATACGTGTATTCATAAACTAAACTTATCAGTTATCACCCATGTCATTTCGTTAACATTATTTTATTTCAAGTTATACACCAAACTATTTGAATTTTCGATATTACAGATAATGTAGGCATTAATGCATTTATGTACATATTCATATTAATGCTCATAGTACTGTCCAATTTTCCATGTCCTTCACCATATTAGTTCAAAATTCACTACTATCCTGGTAATGGCATCTTTGATTTCGAAATTTGAATATTTCAAATAAAATCTAAAAACCACATACTCGTATGGTACATCATTGTTTTGTAATACACTTAATTTATAAGTGACATGTTTTGATTCATTGTCCTGCAACTTTTTATCTACATTATCAATTGTTCACATAATAACTCAAGCTAGATAGTCAGTCCATCTATAAGTAGTGCAATAACATTTATCTACTCCAACACATACACATTTAAAATGAAAACATTAAAATTGAAACTTCAACCTCTGAGATAAATGTTCTAAAAAAACCAATATTCAAACTTAAAACCATACTGCAATGTATTGTCTCCACTTGTCCTAATATCCATATCTCAAAATTCTAAAAAAATAGTCGTCAATATTTTTTCAAGTTTACGCTCCTATCACACCAAAATAAACAAGTAGTAGCTTTGTCGTCATCTTGCTGCGGTAAGCATTGATATCTTCAGGCCTCACCTACTCCGCATCCTTGCCCATCATCAAATACTCAGCCATCTTCAACACAAACATGTCACAACTGTCACTGTTCAGGAATAAATAAAATTATCATTTAATGCCTTAGCAATAAATTATACCAAAACCATCATTGAACAAATTACATACCTATGATTTTGTTGTGGGCATTCTTTCACCATATAGATATGCAAGAAGTCATCCCCCATAGGACCCTCACCTCGCTCATTGTACACTCCTAGCTTATCCATCAGTCTAGGTAAATACATTTGCATACTCGGGAGGTAATGGTGAAGGTGTATGTTTGTTTGACCCCGACGAACGCTAGAATCATACACACGTATGCACTTCTTGCTTATGTCCAACACTAGCAGAATCCAGTGGTTACCTGTATTAAATGTCACATAATAAACACTTAATTCACTACCTCAAATAAACATACTGCCCTAAACATACTGTCCTAAATTACTGCCACACTATTTAATCATTTATTCACAACTCACCAAAGGAATTCAGTTGGTTACCAGTAGGGATGGACTCGGGCCGGGCCAACCGACCCGAAACCGGACCGGCCCGCTACTGTGCAGGCCTGGACCGGCCCGGTGGACCGGTTTGTGCCCGGTTCGGGCCACCCGGCCTGGTGGTATAGCGGTCCGGGCCCGGGCCTCCAGTTTAGTGAACCGGCCCGGCCGGGCCGGGCCCGGTTCGGGCCGGAATTTAAATTTTTTTTTTTTTTTGAAATTTTTTTAAGTTTTGGGTTGGATTAGGTATTTTGGGCCATTTGAGGTGGTTTGGGGTGGTTTGGGGTGGAGGGAGAGGGGTAGGGGGTTAAATAAGAGAAGAAGAAAAAAAAATTAAAAATCCGGGTGGCCCGGCCCGGTCTGGCCCGGAACCGGACCCGGAACCGCCCACCACCGGTTCGGGCTCGGGCCTCATTTTTATGAACCGAGGCCCGGCCGGGCCCAGGCCGAACCGGGCCCGAACCGGTCCACCCCTAGTTACCAGTATTCAATGGCATGTAGACATGCTCCGATTCAGCCCATGGCAGTGCGTAGTCCAAATGTGTCCCAAGTATGGTACCCATTATATTCTTATTTAAAGCACTTTCTGACACTGGCGTGTCATTGTTAATGTGGTTCTCGTAATGCTGTTTCACTAAAGTCATAAACATAGGGTCTGTTGTCGTGAATTTCTGACGGAGCTTGTATTGTTCATCTTTCATCCTTAAGAAATACATCCCTCTCTCCACATGCTTCACAAAACAAAATTTTCCCCTTTAGTATTCATTACTGCGTTACACGCGTGAATATACGTAATATGAAAAAAAAATTACACAATATAAATTTACCGTGTCACCTAACCAATTCCCTGAGAAGTAAATCGTGCAGTACCATGACTTCCTATCAATGCTTCCATCCCCGAATCCTCCTTTCACGCATGTGATCTTTAAGCCATCATATCTTGCCTTGTATTTCTTCTCCTTGCTCTTTTTGTGGTTTTTAATTAGTCCTTCATGCATGATTTCTGCTGTTTTTTGAAGCATTTCTGCAGTTGGCATTTGTGAAGGATCTAAACTAAATAGGCCCATTATTGCATGCCACACATCATCACCTATATCTTGCTCCTTTCCTTTTTCTCCTTTCCTCCTTTTATCTTTTCGGGGCCCAGAGAAGGTGAATCTTTTTGGACGTTTAGACTGTCGTTTTGGCATGCCCTCAACCGCCAGCGAGGTTGTGTCCCCTGTGTATACCTGATCCATGCATAATAATGTTTTCAGCAACCGGTATGCCAAATCTAATATTAATTGAATTGCTAGAGAATATAATACTAATTGAATTACCGAAAAATCTAATACAGCTAACCAACTGATTAGATTATGTAATAAATGTGATATATAAACTTACTTCACTACCTCAAATAAACAGATTGTCATAAACATCCTGTCCTAACTTATGTCTAAACAGTGTAATCAATCATTCACAACTCACCTAATAAACATACTGCCTTAAAGGTATTGTCCTACATTAATCTTCTACTCACATTTGACCAAAGCATCCACTATTACAAATCTAATATTACTTGAATTTCTACAAAATCTTATAATTAATATAATGTCATACAGTAATGCCGCTATTAAAATATCACATCTTCCTATATATTCAACACATTACTTCAACACATATTTTCAACATATAACTTCAACTCATATTTTCACATCTTACCACAATCTGGGAGTCAAGAGGTTCTACACTATCTTCGTTTTTTGTCGGGTCAATGTCTTTAATCCCCTTGTCATCTTCATTATGCGCCAACTCAGCCTCTTTTGCACTCCTCTCCTGCTTATCCTAAATGACCACCAAAATAATTCGGAACACTAGTTAATGCTACGATATCAGTCATCATATACACACATACTACACATTATACTGCCTTTGGGCATATTTATTTAATATTCTGGACGCTTTAATGACATGTAATATATAACAAGAGTATTACTATAGTTTATAACATGTAGGAACAAAAGCTTCTTTAACTTGACCTCTTTCAACACTAGTCATGTCCCCTGAAGTCTGTGTGGATATGTTTGGCTTGTTTGTACTAAATGGAAACCCGGTGATAACTGTCATGTCCCTTTTTGTGAAGCAAGCAATCTTATTGCCAATCAGAAACTCCAGCTTAGTTTTGTCCTTGGGCATATTCAAACGGTCAACATGATTGGCCATGAGAAGGATTAACAATTGCCCATTTATCCAAGGAATATTTCCCAAGTCAAGGAAATATTCGAACACTGATTTTCTAAATTCAGTAAGCTCATCCTTAGTTAAGCAACTTATTATACTTTCAACTTCCTTAATCGGATAGAAATAACTATTTATTCTCATTGACTTTTCGAGAACAAAGTTATCACACTCAGTCATCCTCATATATTCCTGCACCATTAAACATTTATTTTTTCATATGCATCAAAATCACAATCAGAATTATTTCCCAAAAATAAACACTAGTCAGAATGCCCTAATTCTCCACACATTATTGAATACTATTAACTAGTAATGTTCTTGTGGAAGAATATGATTATTAATACTTTCTAATTAAAGAGTGCATTGAAATCTATCAATTATAAAGATTGATGCAAAATCAGTGTTTATTCAAAGTTTGTTGTGGTGGTTATATGTTAAACACAACAAAACTTTATTGAACTTGCACAAAATAATGTCGTGAATTATTTACTCTCAAACCATTTAATGCTATAATCACACTTCCCAAAACATATAAACACTGTCCTACACTCATCTAATCTACAAAATTTTTGCCAAATTAAAATCACGTTTACAGAATCATACCAAGCACCAGTTAACTAATACATTATGTAATTTCATTGAACATACTAATGCCCTGTTTTAGTGCTTCACAAAGAATTCATTAATTTTTCCACAAATCACCTCACTTTAAAGATACAGTTAATGCACTACTGTTTCCATCAAACTGTTTCCATCACCAGTTAATGCCCTGTTAAATAAAAATTTATTGAACTTGCACCAAATAATGCCCCGATTTCCTTTATTTTGGGAATTGTGAATGACATTTTTTTTGAGGAAAGTAAATCAAGTCATTATTTAGAGCAAGTTCAATACATTTTTAGTTAACACGACATTAAGTGGTGATGGAAACAGTTTGCTGGAAACAATAGTGCATTACCTGTATCTTTAAAAAGCGGTGCTTTGAGTAAACATTAATGCCAACCACATAAACACTGTCCAACTCTCATCTAACCTTCCAAATTACTGCCCTAAATGAATGCCTATTTCACAAACCAATTCAATCACTAGCCACCCAAAGCAAGAAATATTACACAGCCTATTTCAGAGCACCTGAAATTTCCCTACTTTATTGTCACACCATCAATTCTATCATCAACCAATTACCACAAATAATGTTCACAAATTTATACCACCCATAACCACTGTCCTCACGAATTTATTGCCCTAACTGCAAACAATATCCCTTCCCCAAATTACTGCGCTAACTCATTGCTTATTTCGCAGACCAAATCCATCAACAATCTGTTTCCCAAAAATAATGCCCTAAACCGATGCCTATTTTCACAAAGCAATTCCATCACCAATCTGTTTCCATCAACAAACTCTTTCACAAACTAAGATTTTTCACAATGCCTATTTCATAAAACTTGCTAATTCCACACATTTATGGCATGCTAGTCAGAAGACTTACAATTCCGTTGACAGTAAAAACATGTGATTCAGTCGTCGCCGCCGATGTTGACGCCTGTTGTTGTTTCTCTGGCTTCTTCACTGCTCTTCTTCCCCGCTTCGGAGTCGTCTTCGTTACACGCCGCCTCTCTTCTCAGTTCAAATTAAATTCTTCAGTGGAATATTACGTTACATTCTCCGTACCGAAGCGGTTAATACGGAATACCCGTTTTACAAGCCTAATTTACAGCGCACGTTTCTCGCGATTTTCTTTTCAATTTATGGGCTTTTCACGCTTTCGGAAGGGCAATTTGGGGTTTTACTTCCATTAGTTGGAGAGCTGATGTATATGACATGATATGTATGGTCATACGGTTGATCAAAAACACACATGGTCATATATCGAGAAAAGTCACATGTTTTAGTATTATTGAGGTATTTTCCCCAAAGTTCAATATTGCAAAATACAACTCAAAAACATAAAGGGAAGTAAAGAGAAAATAAGGGAGGTATGGGTTGCGTAAGGCCCGTTACACAATGGCCCAAGACAACATCTGTCCCAAAAAGGAATGTTGGCGCAGTCCAAAGCATAGGAAGCCAAGGGATGTGTGGGGTGACCTAGTTCTGGAGAGTTCTAGTGTGACGAACAAAGCGGTCTTTTGATGTATGTGTATGTCGATGGCCTTGTGAGAGATATCGTCGAGCTACGCTTCCCTGACCCTGTACGGTAGAGTGTAAGGATCGAAATGTTGTGTTGATCGTTCTGCGATTATTTCTTGTGCGCATAGGTCTGTTGTGCGGTTGCCCTTGGAGTTGTTGAAGCTTGCGTAGATCTTCCGCATCTCAGTGATATTTTATCTATCTCTAAGCTTCTAGGGTGTGGTTCTTAGAATCTGCCTCGTTCATGTTAGTCGCTGGTTGCGAGGAAAGATTAGTACCGATTCATTAAGAGTTCTTTCTCAGATGTTTTTGTTATCTAATTACTGCATTTAAAGAGTCCTTAATTTATTATTTTTGAAAATCATTTTCAGAATTTGCAATAAAATGGTATATAGAACACATACACTCAAATCTGTTTTCATAAAACAAATCTACCGTTTTCTTGATTAAAAGCAATTGAGTAGAAGAGTCCAAGAAAAACTGTGATAGCTACCATTTTACTGAGGTAATTTGCAATTCTTTGAACAAAGTGACACCCTGAAAATTGTTTATAAAATGATGGTTATAACAAACAGCTTATACAAATTAAATAAATTTCCTTCCTGTTTTTGTCTTTGTTGAACTCCTAATTGCAAACATGCTATAGAGTCTTTTTGAATCAACTATTTTCCTTTGAAAAAGTTTCTTCACTTAAAATGTACACATCATACTTGCAAAATACATGTGTAATTTTGCCATACTTGCCATATTTGAAGCTCATCTGAAATAATTTGTTCCATTTTCATGGCATTTTAAGGGATTTAACAATTAGAAATAATGACCTCAATAATACTAGTAGCTTATGACCGGACACAAATAAGCCCCAATTTAAAAAAAGACAAAAAAGAGACTAAATTACACTGAAAGGACCAAAATGCCCACTATTTAAAATCTAAAAAATCACCCCATGAACTGCCCGAACTCCTCCCGTCTTTCCAGTTTCCCCAGACCTTGTCCTCTCTCCTCTGTATTCGCAACGTCCACCTCCTCCTCCATGATGGGAACGAGCAAGAGACCGAGCATGACAGGATCCTGGCGACGCTGATGGCTGTTGCGATGAGTGAAAATGAAGATCGACGGTGAGGCGCGGCGGCGGGCGACGCAGTCGAAGGCGAGCGACGATGATGGGCACAGCGGCGGTTGACGGTGATAAAGACGGCTGAAAGGAATGGCCTCGATGATCGATTTCGATATGTTGTGCGCTGGTTTGGATCTAGGTTGCTTTTTGTCCGATTGGGGGTCAAATCGATGGTGGACAGGATTTATAGGCCGCCGGTGGCGGTTATGGATTCTCATCCCGGCAGTGCGGCTAGGGATTCTATCGCTGCGGTGCGTTTGGGGGGTGGTCGGCTTAGCCTTCGCGGCTAGTTTGTGAGGCTGAGGATGGCTGGTCGGAATTGGGGCCTGGGAGGTGCGAATTGGGGCTTGGCTTCTCGGATCTGGAGCTCCGGAGGGGGGCTGGACAGGGGGCGGGGCTAGGGTGTGGCTGGGGCTAGGTCTGAGGGACTGGTGAGGGGCAGGGTGTTAGACAAAGGTGGGGCTGGGGTTAGGGTGGGTAGGACAGGGGGCTGGGTTTGGGTTGGACACAGTCCGGGGAGGTTGGCCACCGGAGTGACGGCGGTGACGAGTCACTCGCGTTGGTGGCCTGCAGTGGTACTACCGGTGGTCACTCTTGGCTCGGGTAATTAAACTAGTCAAATTAGACAATTTTAATTGGTTGTGTAACTGTAATTGGTTTGCTTATGTAATTGTAACTGGTGAGTTGAGTAACTGTAATTGCTCAAGCCAGATAACTATAACTGGTCGAGTTGAGTAACTGTAATGACTCAAGTCAGGTAACTGTAAATGGTCGGATAATTGTAACTGGTGAGTCGAGTAACTCTAATTGCTCAAGTCATGTAACTGTAACTGATCGGATTGGGTAATTGTAACCGACGAATTAGATAATTGTAACTGGGGATTGCATGTAAGTGGTGGGACGGGTCACTGGAAGTTATTTGGTCATTGACATTTTTTTGTCACTGATCAATTTTTCGTCACTTAAGATTACTAGTATCTGACGAATCAGATAGTTGTAACTGGGATTGCTGGTAACTGTAACTGTAGCGGGTTGGGTAACTGTAATTGGACGGGCATGCACTGATCACTCTACGGGCATGCGTTGGTTACTGGACATGGTAAATTTAGTCATTGGATGGGTGGGCATTTGTCACCGGCATGCGTTGATCACTAGATGGACGGGCATGCGTTGATCACTCTACCGGCGAAAGAACATTGGTCACTGGTCACTGAACGGGCGAATATTGGTCAGACGAACGGACATTGGTAACTGGAGTGGTAGTAACTGAGACGATGATCACTAAAATGGTAACAACTGAGACGATGTCAATTGAGCCATAATACTAATCGAGACGGTGGTCACTGGAGCGGTAGTAACTGAGACAATTCACTTGAGCTATAACATTAATTGGGGCGGTGGTCACTGAAGCGTTAGTAAGTGAGACAATGTCACTGGAGCGATAATTGTAATTGAGACGGTTGTCACCGGAGCGGTAGAAACTGAGACGATGATCACTAAAACGATGATAATTGAGATCATTTTCACACAAATTGTAGTGTAATAAATTAAATATTTAAGATTATATGCAACCTATCTGGCTATCTTAAGAAAAAAAATTAAAATAAAAAGAAACATTAAATAATATTTAAATCAAAAGATGCATTAATGATTACCGTGGAAATAATTTTTGGAGAGTACCGTCATATTCTTGATGCACTACAAATCTACCATACGGAGTAGTAGTCAATGTTATGCAGAGTTGCGGACCGAACGTTCAACAAGCAGGAGGACAATTTAGAGAAGTACAGTATATTTTTATTAGTCACATATTTGGGAATTAAGAAAAGAGGTTTCTTTTTTGTCCATTGTCTATTTTTTAGTAGCATTGGTGTCAAAACCCCTAACAATTATTATACTTGGTTTTAATTATAATTTGTTAAGTACACTCAGAATATTGAAAATGGAATAATTAGTGTATTTTGTCGAAAATGGAACCATTTGACATTTTGTGCCTAGAACAGCAGCCTCCATGATTTTTTTTTAAAAATAGATTGAATATTAAAATCGGTTTTATTGTACTCGAACATAAGTAGCTATATATTCGAACTATAATTCTATAATTAGAAATATAATGGATATATTATCATGATTATTTCATTGTATATCCCAATATAACACCGGATAATTGATTTATTAAGATCTCATTTGGTAATGCTTAAATGTAGTGAATCGGTTGAATCTAATGAAATTGTTAAGTTCAGACTGATTTAGCTAAACTTGTTTAAATTATAAAAAATTAGATTTTATATATAAAAAGATACATTTATAAAATATGTATCTTCATATTATAAAATAGATACTAAATGGTTACTAAAGTACAAACAATCTAATTTATCTGTAAATGGTTAATAAAGGAGGAAAGAGTCAATTAAGTACATTAACTTGTATGGGCCATGAGGTGGAGTAAAAAGAACATTATATTGCATTTTTTATTTTTAAGTACACACACAGATTTTTAGTTTTAATTTATAATTTAGTACATCCATTAGATTAATACGTTAATCCATCTGATCGAATTGGCTAACAATGCTAATAGGTCGACTTCCTGAAGGTCAATGTCAGTCCCCGACCCCTTAGTTCGTTGGTCGTCGTCAGCCCCCCGCACGTTGAATTCCCCTTGATTGATGCACCCCCTCAATTAGGGGTGGACACGGTCCGGTCCGGTCTAATATTTGGCCGAACCCGTACCTGCACCGTTACTATTGAAACAATTCGGTTCGATTCGGTCTTACATCTAAACCCGTTCGGTACGGACCATTTTCAAACGGGACGGTATCATGTCATACCAATGTCAACTAATGCCACTTTTTCCAAGTGTTTAAGGAAAAATTAAAGTTTAGGCATCCAAAAATCCACACAATTTAACAATTTTCATATTTCATACTATCTCTGTTCCAAAATGATTTGCAAAGTCAATCTTTTTTTGGTCAAACAGTTTCTTTTTATTCATTTAATTTGGATTTTACTTTTTAATTATATTCTAATTTGGCCTTTCAGAAAAAAGTACTTCGCATATTTTAATTAGGATTTTGCAACTTTAAAGACATTTTAATGTGTTTCATCTCTTTTTTATTATCTTTTTCCGATAGCTTATCTTTTTTATCTTTATGTTCTTTCTTTTCCTTTTGGTGGCGATATCATGTATCGATTCATGTTAGCCGACCCCAATATCATTTGGGACTAAGGCTTGGATGTTGTTGTTGAAAGATATTTTAATGTGAAGTGGTTTCTAAATATGTAAATTTTAATTATTAAAATTGTACGGATTATTAATTATAATCAATTAATTAACATTATCATTGATAAAAAGCGTTGACTTTGCAAATCAATTTCGGATGGATGAGGTAATTAATAAATTTTAGATCAACTATAATAGTACGAATTTAAATAATTTAACCATATTTCGGTCTGGTTCGGTCCGGTACCGGTTCTCATTTTATGAGAACCCGTCATGACATTGTTTGGAACCGGTACAATCCGGTTCGGGACAAAAAATTTGAGATACGTTTCAAACCTCGTTTGTCGGTCCGGTACCATACCGGTCCGGTTCGGTATCATGCCAGTTCGGTATTTTTGCCCACCCCTACCCGCAAGTTGACGCCCCCCTCCGGTTGTCATCTGAAGGTCGTCTTCTCCTTTTTCGTTGACTTCCTGGAGGTCGATGCCATAGCCGTGGTCGATTTCCCCTTTTTACTCGGAATTCCGTAAGTCAACTCAGTCATATCAACATGTTAATCTAAGTAGTGTACTCAATTAACACTAAAAATATGAGTTCGTGTACTTACATGTAGGGAACTTCCACCTTCCTTCTTGGAACTTGCCTAAGAGGCATCTCACACCTTCTAGGAACGAGCCATCCAACATTGAGGTACTTCCACATCCCTTCATGGAAGGTGCTTGGAGATAGCTAGGAACCTTCCTAACAATGGGAATGGAAGCTTGGATGCAACTTCCTCATGTCTCCCATATAGGTGTATATGAGAGACATGAGGAAGTTTTATTCATTTAACACGAGGGCAGTGAATTACTATTGCTTTATTCCCTTACTTTTAACATTTTTTTTAATTCTTAAACGCATATTGTTTGTTATAAACAAACAATCCATTGATTTTTGATTTTTTTCGTTTCTTCCTTAAAACAAGAAACATGTTAATGGTGGTAAATATTATCCCATCAAAATTACATTTTCTTAAAATATTCTTATCAAAGCAAAAATTGAAAAAATCTCATGATGCAAGTAACTTTGTGAAGGCTTATGTCTTTTCATCACTAATGTTTCACTAATTTTTTCCTATATTAAATTACAAAGTTTGGCATATAAAGGTGTATTCCACATACAATATTGGGCATTTGCCTCATCGCACAACGCGCGTATAAAAACTAGTACACCTATAAATAGGGAGTATATTGTTGTTCATTTGTATCAATTTTAGAAAGTGAGAAAAGTGTGTGAAGAGTGAAATACACTTAGAGTAGAAGTGTATTGGTGATGATTGGTTTTTTGTAATAGTTGAGTGTGAGAGTTTGCTCCTCCTATTGTAATTCTGTTCTTGATATTGAATAGAAGAATGTTCCAATCCCAACAAGTGGTATCCGCCCAGCTCTGGCCCAGACCCATCCCAAATTAAAAAAATACCTATATTTTTAGTGTATTTTTTTCAAATATATTCTTTATACCGGCTCAGTCCGGCGCAGTGCCCTAGGTTCCGCCCCTGATTGAAACCGGACCAACCTACATGGAAATTTTGAGGCTCAACATTGATCGTGTTTGGCAATCAACGGATTTTACCATCGAATTAGTTTGACGGGTCACATAAAGATGTTTGTTAACTTAGTTGTTTGCTTTAGCGGTTAATAGATAAAAAGACAAAAAATGACATTGGTACATCTTAAGAGGCTACATATATATATGCATCTATGGCACGCAAACAAGTAGGATATATGAATGACTATAAAACATATGCATTGGCAGAATTGTGAATTTGTGATAAACCATACTAGAGAAACAACTGGCCACTTTAATCTTCTTTTAAGGACACCAAGCAAATTAAAGAGTCATGAAACACAACAAAGCTCTCAAAAAATCAGTAGGTAGAAGGTACACTTAGGCAAAATCGTACAGAAAGAAAGAAGAGGTACGTATTAAAGAAAGAAAAATACTCCGTATGAAATATGCGAAGGTGTACTAAATTAGTAAATTTACGAATGCAAAATCTGTAGGTAGTAGGTAGAAGGAAACAACAACAAAGCTCTCAAGAAACCTGTAGGTATACTCTATCAATAACAAAAATAATTTAAATGTATACCACCCCACAAATACTGAAATACATAACACACACTCAGCCATCTGGATATTGAAGGCAGAGGAAAACAAACTATGCGGTACCAGTGAAAAATAAAGAAAGAAGCGAGACAAATGAAGAATACGTACCTCGATACCTGAATAGTTTTCTTCAGAGAGGTAACGCTTTGTGAATATGAAGAAGAAGAATCTGAAAGGGTAAACTTGACGATTAATTATTTATTTGGATTTGTTAGTCAACGATCCACTTTGTAGCGTTTTGACCGATTAAAAACGTGAATTTTGGTCAAACCAGCCAATTTTTGGTTGAAACGTCATTTACCAAACATGGCCCAAAAAGCTTTTTGTGTATGAATTATTTTTGGGACTTCAGGAGCCCGTTTGGTAGCACGAAAATCGGGTATTTTGGCTGATTCTGCTGAAATTTATGAAGTTCAGGCTGAAGTGGCTGCATTGACTGATTCTGCCGATTTAAGAAAAAATTATTTTAAAAATATACTTTATTTATAAAATAAAGAAAAAATTACATGTAAAAATAGCTAAAATGATCATCTACAGTAACTTCAGCTAATACAGCCAGAAAAGTAACTCTAACCTTACTTTTTCTGCTTATTACAAAATTCAGGGCGCAAAAGTAGAAGTTACGTGTTTGGCGAAAAAGTTGGCTGAAAGCCTGATAAGCCGAAAAAACAGTGTTACCAAACGACCTCCAAATTAAATTTTGAAAGCGAAATTCTATCCACAAGTCACAACCACGCAGCCTTCCGCCTTCTATATCGACGGAACACGGAACTCGCCAAGGAGCTAAGGAAGAAGCAATTAGTAACGACGCTTGGCCGCCTGCTCCCCCTGCCCCTTCTCGCTCTTCTCGAACTCTCAGTCCAGCCCGAACACTCCAAGGCTTCACGAGTTCAGGTACACCTCCGGCCATTGTTGTACATAATTACAGTTTTATGCTTTTGCTTTTATTGATTAGTGAGATCTCTTGATTTATTGATTATTTCATTAAGATGAATATATGATTATTTTATTAGTTTATTAATTGATCAATTTTTCATATTCTTAATTGTTAATTGTTGTCTATTGAGTGTTGATGTTATATTTTTTTTTTGTTTTTTTAGAGTTATATTTTGTTGATTTTGTTAGTTTTAAAATTTCAATTATAATAAAATTTATAAAATTTATAAATTTAATAAACTTCAAGTTTAATAAAATAGTAGAATCTGGATTGGAGAAAAAAGAGAGGAGAAGATTAGATAAAATGACCCTAAATAAAAGAGGTTCAATGAAAAAGTTTGTTTTGTGAACAAGTCAAATCTTGAAGTTCTAGATGAGAACTCACAAGAGGAGAATGATTTAGCTACCGAAAACGAAACGGTTTCATAAGAGGGGAAAATTTAGGAGTTATAAAATTGGTAGTGAGCTGCCAAAAAATGATTTTGAAACTGTGATGGGACTAATTTAACGAATTCAAGTATTTTCATTATTGTAAAGGTCTTGAAGTATTATTATTATGCAGGTTAATTTAGATAGAAAAGATTTTTACATTTTTTTCTGGATAAAGCCTATTTTAAATAATCTGCCGCCCTCAAATATATAGGACCGCCCCTTACTCCAAGAACCATACAATTGATCTAGACGAGCAGGCTATGAGGAATTCAACTGATAAACAGATGCTCTTGTATGAGGGGAATCAAGAGAGACCAAGGATAGCTGTAAAAGATTATCTGAGCGATCATATAAAGAAAAAGTACCAAAAGCTAGAGCGTATTGGCATTATTGGGACAGGACGTGTTAATCGGCTAGACTGGTCGGACGATGAAATCAAGACTCTCGAGTTTCTTGACCCGTCGATCTATAGACATCTAGAAGAAGGGGATAAAATTGTTGTTTTAAACTTGGCAATGTCTGCACTAACTGATGTAGTGAGTGCTACTTCTGTAGGAGCAATTCTATCAATAGCTTGGCAATTGGCTTCATGTGAAGATGAAAATAGGCTTATCTTCTCTGATTCAAAGATGATGGTTTGCACCCCAAAGCCAATGCATTTCTTGGAGACTCGAGTGATTAGAGAAGCTACCCATCGTAAACCATTCGATATGCCTCCTCATCTGACACATAAGGATATCGAAAAGTGCTGTGCATATATGTGCACTGCTTTGCTGAGGTTAGCTGTCAAGGATGAAGACAATCTTGTACAAGCATGGGATTATATCTGTGACCAATACAGAAACTTTTATCGAGATGAAATTGCATTTCGTATTACACCCGATCGAGAATGCATTGCTGGCATAAGGAATCTGTTGCAGACAAGAACTCTTCTCAGAAATACTATAGGAGTATTTTTGTTAGCTTTTCAAGAGTTGGAAGGCAATGACAAAAAACTGTGCAAAATGCTGTATGAGCTACCGATGTGTTATGTCGGTATGCATGCTTATAGTCTGTTCCTGGATTGCTCCGCCAGATTAAATGCACCCATCAGTGAGTTTGCTGCTTTGCTTAAGCATCCTAGTACAAGTAAATCATTGGATACTGTGACTTATATACTTACCCATTATGAGTTCCCTAGTGAAGAGAATAAAGAGATGGCAGAAAAAGCAAAGACTTGGAGGTATGCTCGTCTTTTCAACAGTGATATGTTTGCAGATATTCAAACAAAGAATTGTGGTATGCTAGCAGGAGTTCTTGCAATGGTGTCCCACAAGATTGGCGGAGGAGGATTTGGAGATGTAACAAAAATAAGGCAAATTTCTGGGCTTATAACTCAACAAAGAAAGTGGTTTGAGTTCGTTGCTGATAATGTAATTGAACATTGCAACGCTGCTGGATGGGCTAAGGGGAGAACTAGATAAGTACTTGTGAAGTCTTAAGCTCAAGTATTCTTCATTTTGAAACTTATTTATGCGTATTATTTAATTAAATAAATAATAAATATTCTATGGGGAAGATTAAGTACTCATCTATTTTATTTTAACAAACACATTTACTTATCCAAACGGATTGTGGCATAATTGATTAAGAATAAAATGGTTCTTATGTCTTTGCCCTTAGAATACTGTTAATGCTTAGTAAATATTGTAATGTTGATTTCGTGTGCTAAATTATGCATTAATTGAAATAACTAAGGTTGAAATTACTTTTTCAAATGAATTGACTAAAATTATGTAGATTGCTATTTTAATCATTTTTCTCGTTTCAAAATACATTTAAAATATAATTTTTCTACAATTCAAATATAGCAGATTCACTCGATTAAAAAATGCATTGATAATGAAAGACTTGAAAGACTACATCAAGCATTAGAAAAACTAAGAGCCCGTTTGGTAGCACGAAAATTGGTTGTTTTGGCTGATTCTGCTGAAATTTATGAAGTTCTTGCTGAAGTGGCTACCTTGGCTGATTCTGCTGATTTAAGAAAAAAATATTTTTAAAATATATTTTATTAATAAAATAAAGAAAAAATTATATGTAAAAATAGCTAAAATGGTCATCTACAGTAACTTCAGCCAATACAGTCAGAAAAGTAACTTCAACCATACTTTTTCTGCTTATTACACAATTCAGCGCGCGATAGCAAAAATTATGTGTTTGGTGAAAAAATTGGCTGATAAACCTGATAAGCCGAAAAACAGTGTTGCCAAACGGCCTCTAAGTTAATCAAATGAGAGAACATACCTTTTATTCGGTATATTATACTCTCCCCGTCCCGAAAAGGTTGGCCAAATTTCATTTTTGGGATCGGATGTCCCAAAAAGATTTGACATTTCCATTTAAAGTAAGGAATATGTGGCTAAAGTTTTTACACAGTTTTTACTTTATTCTTAAATCAACAGAATCAACCAATGCAGTTACATCAGCTGCAACTTCATAAGTTTTAGCAGAATCAACCGAATCAGCTTCATGTTACCAAACGGGCTCCCCAATTTGTTCTTCCAACTTTTAGCTTAAAACTGCTCAAATTAAGTAGAAGTTAGTGTTTACACTATTTTTAGCTTTTTTTAATGAAAAAGGTGAAAACACTTTTAAAAAGTTTTAGCAAACACACTTTGAATCATCGAGCTTAATCACATTTTTGAAATTGAAAAAATATTTAGCACAATTCATCACGCTTTTACCCTCAAGATTATGCATTTCGGCTAAGGTGATATACAGATTTATAAGGTGAGAAATAGGAATCACATATGCGTATAAGAAATGACTCATTTGCTATTGTGCTGTGATGTTAATACCATAAATGTCACGGCATATACAGCAACCAAATCCAATCCATTAAAAAAATGTTCACCTACATGGCATGTGGTAATTCAGTCCCTATACGGTGCAACCTGCCCACCTTGAGCACCGTACTGCAATCAAAACGACGTAGTCCTGCACTTTTTTAATAAAAAATTTCGCGCATGAACAGTACACGCGCGTGTACAGTAATTTTTTTGTTTTTTCCTTTGTTCCAGTAGCAGAGTGATGTAACTCACGTGTAAAAAAATGTAACTCACGTTATTAATCAATGTAACTCAAGTCCAGTCCAAATGTAACTTGCCCAATACTTAGTATAAGAAATAGAACATTGATTTCAATGTAAATAATGAAAAAGGAGTCTAATTGCCCAATTATTTTACAAAATAGTGTATATGTTTGTTTCTAATATATCAAGGCTATAAAAATGATTTTTTTTCAAATTAATTTTTCTTTGAGTAGCAGAGGCTTTTTGAGTTGTGTAACTCGCACTATATTGTTGTGCAACTCGAATTATGAAAATGTAAATCATATGTAAACAGGATGTAACTCACGTACAATAAGATGTAACTCATGCATAAACAGATGTAACTCACGAATAAAAAGATGTATCTTGTTGATAAAATTTGGCATGTAACTCACGCTAATACATATGTAATTTTAGGCAAATTTTGGTGTAACTTGAGTATGCGCAAAATGTAATTTGAGAAATGTCTAAAATAATTCATCCCAGTCATCTTCAAAGATGAGTCTTCTTTATTAGGATCTGAAGTTTCATATTCATTACTATTATATATATAATCAGTTAAAATCCATATATGTTAAAGCATCTCTTTGCCAGTGAATCACTGTGTCTGTCAGTAAGCAGCACAATGGACATTAACCATGGCACTCTGCTTTTTCCACTCCAAATCGCACCAGAGGACATCGATGGCAGTCTTTAATCTTGCCATGTTTCCCTTCACAATTGAGTTCTAGATTATCCTTTGTCCGGCCAAATCATCTTTTCAGCTGTGGATGAGTGGATCCAACCCTGACTTCCTTCTCTGCGACTCAGGCAATGTAGGAGATGATTCACGTCATACGACTTTCAATTGGGATTCGCCGAGTTCTTCCATCGATCATTACTTTAATTAGCAAAACTACGCCGTATTTGACCGGGCATACCATGCGCATGGTATGCCGGTCGTACGGTATAATTTGCGGTGGTAATTGGATCACATCCTCCAAGTCCTTTTATTATAATAATCCATAAATCTTTGAAATAAATTCAAATGTATAACCAAAATAAAAATGGAGAACAAAATTTTGAATTTGATGTATTAAAATGTTACATTATAGTGGCTTCAAAACTTATACTACGTACATAGTAATTTTATAGTCACATTTTTATTTATAGATTATTTGTTAGCAATGTTTTAGGACAAATCTCCATATGGATATTGAATTTATTGGAGTCTAAACACATCATCATATAGAGAATAAGAAATCATATGAATCTATATTACTCTTTTTTTTTTTTGAAAGAAAATCTATATTACTCTCTATTAATTATACTTTCTATATTCTCTTTTAATTGCAACACTTTCATTTTCACGTGTGCAACACATAACTATGATCATTAATATACTTAGTTTCCTATTTGTAAAAAAAATAAAAATCACTTTATAAAAATTTAAAATGAGACCTTGCAAAAGAAATGAAAATAATTTAATATATATATATATTTTAAATATATGTTTTAATGTATTAGTAAATAAAATATAGTATTATTTAAGAACGGGGTAGTATGTAAGAGGAAGCAGTCAGACCAACTGGTCGCAAACTCACTCTCCCTTACGGGATGTCTTAGGTTCGAAATTCAATGAAGTGAGTTTTACCTCTCATTACTCCAGCCCCCCTCCCCCAGACGCCCCCTGGAGTAAAAGTAACAGGGTAGTATATAATGGCAAAGTTTGGATATTTTATAATATTTCCGTTCAAGGAGGAGTAATTAATTTGAACTTGCATAAAGAAAGTTATTAAATGATACTCCGTAACATTTAAGGAGGTTGGTATATCGTGGGAGCGGTGTAGGGTCAGTCCGTATACCGTGCAACCGGTGCATGGTGAGCACCATGCACCCATGGTTGTATGAAATGTAATTCGTGTGATTTTATATGTAACTTCAAGTTAATCAAAATGTAAATTACACTCATTCACATGTAACTCGTTGAAATGTAATCTGCTTTAATTGAAATGTAACTTGGAAAGAAATAAGATGTAACTTGGGATTTGTAACTTTAGGCAAATGTTGATGTAAGTTGAGTGTACCCAAGATGTAAATTGAGAAAGATCTAAAATAATTATAATAGTCATCTTCAACAAAACAGCTCTCCATGGATCGATTCTGGTTTTGATGAGTCTCAAAACTTGATTGAGTAAAAACAAAAAACAGATAAAATACAACTAACTAACATTCATAGTGCACAAAATTTGACAAAAGTGATACAAGATAAGCTTCGAAATTTGAACATGGTAGGCCTGGTTCATCCAAAGTTTCACGCATGGTTCATCCAACGTTTCAGAACTGGAATCTCTATGTTTGCATCCAAAATTAAATCGGCAAAGCTGGTTCACGCATGTATTTTTTTTAGTTTTTTTTAGTCTTACGTAAGTATACCGTGTTGTTTAGGGACCGGGCACACCATCATCATGGTGTGCCGGTCGTAGGATATAATTTGCGGTGTAGGGTAAACATTGTGCTCCCAAGGTTATATAAAATGTAAATCGTGTGAAGTCACATGTAATTTCAAGTTAATCAAAATGTAAATCACAATCATTCAAATGTAATTTGTTGAACAAGCTCAAATGTAAATTGCTTTAATTAAATTGTAACTTAGAAACAAGTGGATGTAACCTGAGAAATGTAACTTTAGTCCATTGGTTGAAATGTAAATGTAACTTCCGGCCACACTAGTATATAGCTACACCCTCTTGTAACTTTCGCCAAAAAGCGGAATTACAGAAATGTTACTCCGTATTAAAGTTGTTAATGATCTATTTGGCAGATTGCAAAAGGCGTTTAGTCAAATCTGTAAGCTATTTTTGCCACAAAGTTTTTGTTATATTTTTCTTTCATTGTTGTGAAAAGTAATGTTCTGTAGTTTTTGCTCTTTTGATCCCGGGCAGAAGATAGACGTATCGCGGTATCGTTGCTCTCTTTTTATTTTGCTCTGAACAATCGGTTGATGAAGCGACTCTTGTTTTCAATTAATAAAGTGATGTCGATTTGATATCGACACACCGTGCATACGGTACCTGATCCCACACTATAATTTGCGCATTTAAAATGAAATACAGCCTCCTTATTTAAGCAAAATTTTGATAAGCTAAAATTAATTGAATAAGAAAATTATATGTAGATAGGGTCTCGTACAAGAACAATAAGGAAAATGACAGATAAGCAAATCAGAGTGTAATTCAGTGTGTTATTCGAACGTGAAGCTGCCGGAGTACAATTGGACACACTCCTATATATAGGAGATGTAATTAACGCTCTTAGGCCTATTTCGTCCGTTACTGACGGGTTGGTCGTCGGTTACGATGATTTCGAATATGTCATAAAGGTTGATCAATTACAATTAATATATCCCTTAATTACATCAAAGGGTCTAATAATGCATAAGAACGTTACAACAACAAAGATTAAGCCTTGTGAATGCTCCGTTAACTCTTACGGTCAATCCTCTTTAATGTTACACAATCTGTTGAATTCTTGCTCTAATTTAACACTGCTTGCGATCCTTGAATATATACGAGGAAACCATTTCCAAGGAAATACATGTATGAAATCTCGGGTATATGGGTCCAATTTTGG